AAATGATACCTGGACAGGGTAGATGATCTTTATAAATTAAAACAAATCCAAAGCACATGATTGGTAGCTTAAAATCTTTTTTTGGGGATGCTTATGGCAGCCGACCAAACTCTTCACTTTTCTTTTTGTGAGCTTTATGCCTCCTTTTCCACCCTTCACAAACTTAGTCCAATTGTTAGATGTCTTTCCCTTGTAGATGTTCACCGAGAGTTCATATACTATCTGTGTTGCAACATGTCCTGTTAAGCTGCCATTGCTTTAGCTCATACTTTCCTTTAAACACACTGGACTGTTTGTCACTGTATTCAGTCAGACTCCTTCACCACTGCTGGTCTAAGCCATCAGGATTGTTTTTGTGTTACATTGCAGCTGACAGAAAAGTAAGCAGGCACACCTGATGTCATCCATAAATGCTGCTTTATGTTAGAAGTAGTATAAATGAATGTAAAGTGTATCAGTTGTAGCTAAACTCAGGATGCCAATTGTTCTTGACATGAGGGTCACATCTCTGTATGCAACATTCTGCAGAATTTTGCTAGATTTCAGTAACTTTTCAGACCCTTGAATGATTAATACCAAGCACCTGAACACCCCAACTCTCAGCCTGTCTCCAGAGCAGAGCTGCTCCAGCCTTCAGATCATCTTTGTGGCCTCTCCTGGACTCCCCCCAACAGCTCCGTGTCTTTCTTGTGTTGGGGGCTCCAGAACTGGACACATCACTACAGAGGAGTCTCACGACAGCAGATGAGAAGGGGAGAATCCCCTTGCTCGACCTGTCATGCTTCTTTTGATGCAACCCAGGATACAGCCAGCAAACCATGTAGGCTCCCTCTTAACACCAGGAAACGCTCTTTCTCTTTAAGGGCCACTGAGCCCTGGCAGGGGTTTCCTGGAGCTGTTGTGCTGGTTTGGTTTGGTTTGGTTTGGTTTGGTTTGGTTTGGTTTGGTTTGGTTTGGTTTGGTTTGGTTTGGTTTGGTTTGGTTTGGTTTGGTTTGGTTTGGTTTGGTTTGGTTTGGTTTGGTTTGGTTTGGTTTGGTTTGGTTTGGCAGGTGTTTTGGTAGCAGGGCGGAGCCCCAGGGGTGTGTTCTGTGAGAAGCTGAAAAGCTCCCCCAGCTCCAAACCTGCTGAGGTCAAGTCGTTGTGGAGACAATAGGTGGGTCTGTGTGATTGACATACCAAGGGGCTGGTAAGAGAGTGGAGAGTAAGGAGAGGAGCTGTGTTGGGGAGCAGAAGGGGGGCATTGCGGGGTGAGGATCCCCAGGTTGGTGAGGAAGAAGGGGCCCAAGCAGAAGTTTCCCTGCCAGCCATGGGGAGGTGGCAGCTGTGCCCTGCACCCATGTGGGGAGGGTTGGGAAGGACCCTCTGCCAGGGCAGGGACCCGTGGGGCGGCAGGGCTGGGAGGAACCACCAGCCTGTGCAGGGACTGCAAAACCCATCCCCTGTGCCTGGGGGGAAGGAGGGAGAGAAACGGGGAACAAAGGGGTTTGGGGGGAAGAAGGGAGGGGTGGAGTGAGGTGTGTGAGCCCTGCTCTGGGTGTCTGTGTCCTGGGGGCACTGGAGCAGTGGGAAATTAGTGTTTCTGTGACCATAAGTGGTTGAGTGAAACCCTCCCTGTCCTCTTCCACAATCCATAAGTTTCTGGTTGGTCTTTTGCCCTCCCATCCCAGTGTGTGTGTCTGGGGGTCAGCGAGCGGCCTCGGGGCTGCTTCGTTGTTGTCAGTTAGGCCTAAACTAGGGCAGTTGTGAAGTCTCCATCCTCGGAGATATTAAAAAGGCATCTGGATAAAAGCCTCTTCTTCGTGGCTATATCCTGCTTCACAACTGTTGTCTGACTTAAAAGGATTTAAAGTTTTTAGCAGCGGCTCGTGAGGGCCTACTGACACTGAGTTTGATCCCCAAAGCACTGCTGAGTGACTCTCCACGTTGTGAGGCACCTGAATTTACCAGCCCCTTCCCTTTCAAACTAGCCCTCTGCTCATCTGACTGCATGCCCAGAGCTGCCTGACCTTGTGTCTCCTGCATGTTACACAGCTGGGTCCACATCCCAGACCACAACAAAACCCCAGAAGAGCTCTCCTGAGGAGACTGGCTCTGTCACTGGCCACTGGGAAGTGAAAAATTTGCCGTCCGTGAAGCAATTTGCTCTAGCTTAGCACACCCCATAGAGGCCCTGGCACATCCTGAGGGCACTTTGTCCCAGCCTGAGAGCACTGACACAGGTTTGCCACTTACTGCTCTGAGCAGGGCCCCATAGAAAAGAAACAGCAACGATTTAATACTTAACCTGCTGCTGCCAGAGAACACTGCCTTTACAGTACAGATGTTACAGCTTCTCAGGGAAGGGGAGACCAGAGCTTCTTCTTCAATCTGTGAGACATTTAGCTCTCGCACCCTAGGAGGGGCCTCAGCCATTCCTTGCTCTTCTTGCATGGACTTCTAAACCCTCCTCAGCCAGGACCAATAGCCACTGGGCTGCTGGACACCATGTGGCAGCCCAGCACCCCAGGGGCTCAGCTGCAAGAGTCCCTGTTGCCCCTCAGAGCAGCAGCTGCTGGCCCAGGCTGGGGAGCACAGTTTGCTCTGGGTCCTGCTGGAGGGAGGTGCCCCCACCAGCACCTTTGGTGCCTTCTCCCCAGAGAGGCAGGACTTCAGATGCCCCCTGTGCTCACCATTTCTCACTGGCTGACCTGGGCTCCTCCTGGGCTGGGTGCAGGGTGTTTCCCCATGCCCTGAGCTCCTTGCTGCAGTGCTGAGCTCTGGGTTTGGGCTCCAAGAAAGTGGGCAGAGCAGGGCTGCAGCCTCCTTGGAATGGGCTTTGCAAGCTGGTTTTACCCCTCCCATAGAATGAAAGTGGTACAAGCTCACAGCATTTCTTGCAGAATCTCCCGCTTGTTTCCAATATATGTCCAATATGAAGTGTGTACAAAGAGGCACACATGCCTCTGTGTGTTTGCATGTTCTTTTCTTGACAGTCCTGAAGCTGCACCAGCTTAAAAGCCACAACAGAACCCAGCCTCTCGTAGGCTGCTGTGTCTGTAACCCTGGTGAGCAGTTACACATCTGCACTTCTGCCTTCAGGATTTTACCACCACAACTGCAAAAGCTATTAATAATGCTAATTTATATTTTAACATCCTGTTTTATCTATTATACAGCTGGGATATCTGCAGTGCAGACATACCAAGCAATCCACCCTGGGTCATACAGTGAGTCGGTGGGAAAGCCAGCAATAGAATCAATAAGTCCTGCATCCAAGTTCTCTAAGTGCCTTGACTAGTCCAGATTCCCTCCTTAACACCCCTGTCAGATTGTTTATAGGAGATGTATTCATATAGTTGGTTAGACATCAAAATTTTCTAATAATATCTCATCATGTCAAATGACAATTATGACCTTAGTTCAGTTTGCCAGACAATGCTTTGCCAAAGGTTTGCCAAAAATGTTTTGACCGAAGAAAGAGGAGGCATCTGTAGCATCTGCAGACGAGAGCGTATAAAACATCCCTGTGACAAGTCTGCCCTGTCTGCACAGGCAGCTTCAAGGTAAGTGCACGGGGTCTGCAGGCTTGCAGGAAGAGGATGGGTCCCTTGTGTGCCACCTCCAGTACTCAGTTTCTCAGGGCAGGTTTTAAATCTGCTTTCAAGGCACCTGCACGTTCTCACCCCGAGTTTCTGTGCAGCAAGTGGGGAGTTGCCATTTCTGTTTTACAGCACTGACCAGCTGCCAGCCCACGACCCACCCATCTGCTGTCAGGAGAGGTAAGAACCTGATTTATTAGTTTTTAGAGGGTAGAGAAAGATCCTTTTGGGTGAGATTTCTGGAAGGTTCACTGTTGCGCTCTGTATTTAAACCTAGTGTGATTACAGCAGAAGGTAGTGGGGTTCTCAGGGTTTTCAAGTGGCTCTGTTTGAAGCCTCCGACCACTGATGGCAGACAGAAAATTTCCCTGGGGAAATTTTTCACTTCTGCATAACTCACCTAACATGCTGGCTTCCCATCTTTGCTATGGCAGCAGTAGAAGCAGTCCAAGAGAAGCACAGCAGGAAAGGGTGCAGAATTCTGCATTCTACCTGAAGAAGTATGAATTAATGAATTTCCCAAGCAGACAGACCTTCTAACCATCTTTATAAACTGCCAGAGCTCTCTTTGATACCTATTTTCTCACTTTAGATTAGGTAGTATTTATTACCTAATGAATAAAGAGGGAATCAATTTTACTAGCATAGCTAGAGAATTTTTAAGGGCAGCTGGCTAAATTTAGCTACCTCTGTGTTTAATAAATACTCCTACTTTTTTAAAGTTTGGAGAACTCACCTGCTCCTGTAATTTATTCAGCAAGTATTTATTTGGGATCTTAATACAGGCTTGGCAATTCCAGTTTTGGTGCTTGAATTTAATTTCACCAAAGTAAAAACTTTGGGGCTGAAATAATTGAAACACAGTACTGAGGAATGACAATTGCATGCAACAAATTAAATTATGTCAGAATATTAAAAGGTCACAAAGCCTGCCCTTTGATTTCGGTTGAAAATGTCATTAGCAAAATCAATTAGTTTCCCACTGCTAATGTCCCACAGGTTCAATGCTTTCCAAGACTGTAGATCACCTAAACTGCAGTTTTTAAGAAATGTTACTTCTCTGTTCATCCTTTTAACAAAATGTCCTGATTGTATTTCCATTCCTAATAGTGATGTCTTAGTGAAACTCAGGAAATTGATTCTTATCTTACAGACACAGTATTCTGAAATCACCAAACCCACAGTTCTGAAAGGTCATTAAAAGTTGCTCTGCTAAGTTGACCTAAAAATCAAATCTCTCTAGTTAGCTATTTTAGGTGTTGCAAATACTCAAGGAGTGAAACCAAGGCACAGGATGTAATTTTTTTCCCAGTCTTACAGAATAGATGTAAATAATCAGTGCCATGTTGTTCCTTCCCATTAGAGTCCTCTGCTGACGAGTCCCTCAATAGAGCGCAGCCATGGCCTCTGGAGATGCTGAGATGGCTGTTTTTGGGGAGGCAGCTCCTTACCTCCGCAAGTCAGAGAAGGAGAGAATTGCAGCCCAGAACAAGCCTTTTGATGCCAAGTCATCTGTCTTTGTGGTGCATCCTAAGGAATCCTTTGTGAAAGGGACAGTCCAGAGCAGGGAGGCTGGGAAGGTCACTGTCAAGACTGAAGGGGGAGAGGTGAGTGAAAACCAGGATTGAAGGTCACCATTTGATTCCCAGTCTCAGCTCTTAACTGGCATACATGGATCTTTTGTTTCCTTGGCAGACCTTGACCGTCAAAGACGATCAGATCTTCTCCATGAACCCCCCCAAGTATGATAAAATCGAGGACATGGCCATGATGACCCACCTCCATGAACCCGCTGTGCTGTACAACCTCAAAGAGCGTTATGCAGCCTGGATGATCTACGTAAGTACCAGCAGCATCTTCCTTTGGGCAGCCAGCAGGAACTGCTCTGCCAGGCTCAGGGGAAGCCAACGTGCTGTCTCCCTTCCTCCAGACCTACTCGGGTCTCTTCTGTGTCACCGTCAACCCCTACAAGTGGCTGCCGGTGTACAACCCGGAGGTGGTGTTGGCCTACCGAGGCAAGAAGCGCCAGGAGGCCCCTCCACACATCTTCTCCATCTCTGACAACGCCTATCAGTTCATGCTGACTGGTGAGTGCTTGACCTCCTTCACAGCAACCTAAACCAAAAACCTCACTGACCTCACTGGAACATGTGACAGGCCAGCTAAAAACACCACGGAGCTGTATGACTCAGGAATTGATTGAGTTATGCAGGAATTAATTTCAAGTGAAACTGACCCAGCACTATGTGTGAACTTAGCACTGTGGAATATTTGCACTTTATTGTATGAAATTCTACACTCTCCTACTGTAGAAATAGTCCTTGACTCAATTTGCTACTTTTTTCACTGACAGGAAAGAAAAACATATTCCATATAATCCTCTATTTTTAATACAGACATTTTAATAGATTTCTTAGTGAGAACTGTGTGAAGTGTAAATGGATGAACAGCCTATGGACCACATGCCTCTGACAGGTCTGTGCATCCATCTACACTTACACCTGCTAATGTTAGGGCCAGGGTGAGACTGGTACTCAGACTTTCTAAAGAAGCCGTGATTTACATTTACAACTTGACGTTTCTTTCAGCTCAGTTTTAGCCAGGTCTGCTGCTAACACCATCTTCTGTTCTGTCTGTTCACAGATCGCGAGAACCAGTCGATCCTGATCACGTACGTAGCTCCCTGCTCA